TGTTCTCTTGTTGCATCTTCTTCACTTCGGATGCAAACACAGCTTCTGCTGAGGCCGTGGAATCGATGCAGTTGGCCTTAATGGAAATCACAAAGTGTCCTCCATTCCGCAGGAAGGTGTGGGCATTCAGGGCCACAATCCGGGTTTGGTCTGGTTGCGCCACATCAGCAAAGATCACATCCACCATTGCGATAAGCATGCGGTATTTGTGTGGATGCCGAGCATCTTCAATCACAGGAATAATGTTGGTCCTCTTCTTGGCCAAGTTGATGAGGTCACGGCCAGAACGGTGGGAGAATTCAACTGCATAGACCAGACCATCCGGGCCAACAATATCAGAGACATGAGAGACGGTGGTGCCTGAGGCTGCCCCAAGGTAGAGCACCTTTGCCCCTGGTTTGATGTGGATCTGGTCTACGCCTCCCAGGATTGCTGCTGCCAGCTTGGAACGGAAGGGGTTCCAGGCTCGGTACTCAATTTTGTCATCTCCCTCTGAAATAGAGACTCTCTTCTCCCCATATACGGATTCTCCAGGGACCAGATTCTTTGTGACAAGGGCATCCTCCTTTCCTCGACAGATAAAGACACCTTCATGCCGATGCGGTTCCACCATGACATTCTTCCCTGACTGGTTGCCTCTTTTGCCTCCCCGGCCACCACCTCGACCCCGGCCGCCCCCAGACTGGAAGCCTCCACCTCGTCCACCTCCTCCTCCTCCACCTCCTCGTCCCCTGAAGCCTCCACCTCCACCTCGACCTCGACCTCCACCTCCACCAAAGCCTCCTCGTCCCCCGCCAAAGCCTCCTCGTCCGCCTCGTCCTCCTCCTCTACCGCCTCTGTCACCAAAGCCTCCTCTGCCACCAAAGCCGCCCCCACGGGGGCTGAAACCTGGCTTCATCACTGCGTTCTGGTCGCGCGGCCCCGGCGATCTGCGGTGTCCCCTGCTCCACGAGTCTCCGTATTTCTTATTTTACATCTCAATCACAGTTTCTCCTGAACCCCACCACAAGGGTAAAATCCATGGGAATGGAATTTTTTTTAACTTTTTAAATTTAACTTCTTTATTGATTTTTTTTTGGAGTTTTACATCATGCACTCCAATTGGGCTCAACTCCCAGTCCCCCCATATCCCCCCTTCACCCCTACAGCACCCCTCCACAAAAGAAAACAAAACCAAGGAAGCAAGCAAGCAAACTAACAAAAACAAAAACAAACCAAACCAAAAAAATCTAAACCCAAACCCCAAAACAACAACAACAAAAACCTCTTCGCAATGAGCACAGGACCCGGTCCCACTGCCTGGATGCCTCCCAAACAGATCAAGCCAATCAACTGTCTCACCCATTCAGAGGGCCTGATCCAGTTGGTGACCCCTCAGCCATTGGTTCATAGTTCATGTGTTTCCTGTTTGAAACCTGGGGCCTATGCAGGATCGCTTGGCTCGGCCTGGGAGGAGGGGACTGGACCTACCTGGACTGAGTCTACCAGGTTGATCTCAGTCCGCGGGGAAGGCTTTGCCCTGGAGGAGGTGGGAATGGGGGTGGGCTGCGGGAAGGTGAGGGGGGCGGGAGGGGGGAGAACAAGAGAATCCGTGGCTGATATGTAGAACTGAATTGTATTGCCAAAAAAAAAAAAAAAAAAAAAAACACAACCAAAAAAAAACCCTCTTCGCTTCTCCTTCTTTCCTGCCTCTCCAACACCTCTTCATTTGTCCTGGTGGCATTGGGAGCTTCTGTATGTCACACAGTGTACCCTTTTGTCCTATCAGCTTTACTAGCAAATGTTCGCTGCAATGAGTCATTGGTCTTGTTCAAGGCCTCTGGTTTCCGGTATACCATCCTCACTGGATCCTCACCAAAATTCCTCTGGGATATCTTGTCACCACCTGGAGTCATGGAGATCCTGCGGGTATTGTTCCACAGGACCAGTCCCTTCATGAGCTCCAGCAGGTCCTAGATGGGGTAGATGTTAGGGTGGGCCAACCCAAGGCTTGGCTATGGGCCTGGGTGGTAGCTGAGCTGGTCAGTCTGGGCCACTGGGGGCACCTGCCTCAAGAGAGGGGGCAGAGCCAGGTTCCCTATGTCTAGCCCTCAGGGTTGGTTCACCCTTGCCTGTGGTGAGGGATGGGGGCTATCTCTCCTGAGTGCAGGGGTCAGCTCTCCTGTGAGGGTCAGGGCCAGCTCACTTGCGGCAGAGTCCAGCAAAAGGCAAGGCCAGCTTTTCCAGGGTCAGTGAAGGGCGGGGCCAGCTCTGCATGGCCCTCTGATTTCATCTCCCATGGTTCCTAAGGTCCCTTGAGGTGACATGGGCCACAGATATCAACACAGACCCCAGCTGTAGCTGGACCATGGACCCAGACATGGCCCTTGGTAGCAGCTTGGGCCCTGACGACATCCTGGCTCTGGGTGGAAGCACTGGCCCCTCAGGTTGGGGTGGTTCTGGCGGCCACATGGCCCCTGGACACCACCAAGGCCTCATGTTGTGGCCCCAACCCTGGGGTTCTATGTGATGTTTAGTGCAATATGGAACTTGGACTTCAGCACAGACTCCAGTCATGGTAGGACCACGAACCAGACATGGTCCTGGGCAGCAGCTGGGTCTAGATGTCACCATTGCCCTAGGTGGTAGTGCAGGCCATTCAGATTGGTACAGGTCTTCAGACACCAACATGCCCCTGATCTTGGGTGTCTGCATGGCCTTCGATGTTAACAGGAGCCCCAGACGTCAGCACAGACCCTGGCTACAGTAGGGCCAATAGACCCAGGCATAGTCCTCAGCTGCAGCTCTGGCCTGGATGTCACCATGGCATTGAGTAGGTGCTCAATGCTGCACAGGGTACTCAGATCTGCATGCATCTTGGTCCTTGGCACCAACTTGGACTCAGGTGGCTGATCAGACCCTGGGCATCCTCAGGGCCCTTGGTGGCAACAGGAGCTACATATGTCAATTTAGACCTCGCCGCTATAGGGCCACGGACCCAGACATGTCCCTCGGCAGCATCCTGGGCCTGGATGACACCATAGTCCTGGGTTGGCAGCACATGTCACTCAGATCTGTATGACTCCTGCTGTGGCATGGCCCCCAGACTCCAACCGGCCTCAGGCTCTGGTCCAGATCCCAGGCCTCTGTGTGGGCCCTAGTGGCAACCTGGGCTATAGACTTCAACACAGACCCCAGCTGCAACTGGGCCACGGACCCAGACATGGTCCCAGGCTGCAGCTCATTCTGGTCGACATCCTAGCTCCAGGTGGTAGCCCTGGACATTCAGATCAGGATGGCTTTGGCAGCAGCATGGCCTCTGGACACCTACAAGGCCACAGACTGTGGCCCAGAACCCAGACTTCCTGTGGCCTTGGGTGGCAACATGAGTCGTGGACATCAACATAGACCTCTTGGCTGCAGTAGGACCATGGACCCAGACATGGTCCTCAGCAGCAGCCTGGGTCTGGTTGTCACCATGGCCTCAGGTGACAGAAAAGGCCACCCAGGCAGCCCTAGCAGCAGCATGGCCCCTGGACCATGGCCCCAGGTGGCAAGCAGACCACCCCCATCAGTCTATTCCTCACTGCCTTGACCATGGCCCCAGGTGGCAAGCAGGCCTCCAACACCAGCTTACTCCTCACCATCTTCATTTCTTCTTTTTTGCCTCTTTCCACAGTGCACGGACTACTCCACTTCACTTTCTCTACCCTTTCTCTACCACATATTTGCTTATCATAATGAGGCCCACAGGTGGGCCCATGGATGTCTTCCTGCCAGGCAGAGCCTGGAGGATGCCAGCTGGCTAGTCCCCGTCTGTTAAATAGCATGGGCAGTCCATGTAGTTGTTACTTACTTGTCCATTTCCCTTTGGGCTCTCTGCTCTCTGGGAGGCAGTCCAGTGTGTTTTCATCAGTGACCCATTAGGTGAAGGTACCCAATCTTAGAGTTTTCTGTGTTAAAACTGAGTTTAAAGAAAGTCTTTTTTTAAAAAGTATTTTATTGTTTAGTTTTTTACATTTATTCGTGTGTGTGTGTGTGTGTGTGTGTGTGTGTGTGTGTGTGTGTGTGTGTGGTGTGCACGCGTGTGTGTAACCATAGAGTCATAGAACATATGTGACAGTCAGAGGACAATGTGAGAAGTCAGTTCTCTCCTTCTACTGTGTGGGTCCTGTGAATCAAATTCATGTTGTCAGGCTTGATGGTATGTGCCCTTAATGGCTGAGTCATCTTGCTAACTCTTTTTGTAAGTTACTGCTTCAGATCTTTGTTATAACAATAGAAGATGGGCTAATATGGGACTTGTTTGAATGGGGCCTGTAGGAACTTTTGTATGAATGGGGCCTGTGGGAACTTGTTTGTATGAATGAGGCCTATGGGAACTTGTTTGCTGGCTTAAGGTGAGAAGGGCAAAGGGCTAACCACAAGTCAGAAAGTAATTCCTTGTTAGATATCAAATTGGGTGCTATCATCACCAGAGCTTTTAGCTTCCAGAACAGACAGCAATGAATTTCTGTTGTGTTGAAGCTACTCCACTGTGATAATTGTGCGATAGCCCCAGAATTAACTCTTGGGGCTTTAGTATTTGCTTTTAAAATTTGTCCCTACTATTAGAGGACAGGATCTTGCTGAGATGTGAAAAAGAAATTCAGTCACCCAGGTTACTGAAATCCTCCCTAAGGTACATCACTAGTAGTGGAAGGCCTGAGGAGTGAGAGGAGAGGAAAGGAGGTGGGTGGAGGTGAAGTAAGGGAGGGAGGGACCCTTGCCTACTGTAGCAAGGAGGAAGGTGTTGTCTATTGGGACTCACCCATCCATAGCCTCCTGTATGTTTGCTGTGTGTAACAGAAGTGATCCGTATCAGGCTTAGCAGGGACCACATACCATGCAGAGGAGACATCCTAATTGTTGGGTATATGAACCTAATGACTATGTAAAAGTGTGAATCCCCTCTATCTCCTCTTCAGGTGTCAGAATAACCCCACCTGCACTCAGGACAAACTGCAACTTGACACAGAATGCTACAGCTCTGCATGCCTGTCCTCAACCTCTTTCAGTTCCTGCATCTTTTGAGGCAGAGTCTTGGTCCAGAACTGCAGCCTTCTGGCCCTCAGTGCTCGGCCCACAGCAGGGTGGATGTCCAGCTGCAGGTACTGCTCATCATGGTCAAACATGGGCCAGTGGGGCAGGCCTTCGCTGTTGGGATTCCTGTAGACACATCCTCCCAGTAGGGAGAGCAAAGATTACTTTAGGTTCTGCTGAACTTGAACCATATCCCTGGATTTGGGTCAGGGCAATGGTCTAAGCAGTTAGGGAATTACGGGAATTTAGAGGCAGGTGTACTGATGTAGGAAAACAAGGAGACCTTACTATTGTCTGTTCTGTGAGGAACAAAGATACCTGGCCTGATTTCCCCCTCCTTTCAGAGGCGTGCTCTAAAGAATAGTACCGCAACACTACTGCTCTACACTATGTCACTGGGTGACGGTCAGAGACCAGTATGTACAATTGTTTAAGTGGATTGTGAGGTGTGGATGAGGCTATCATGTGATGAAAGATCCACAATGGCTATTGAAACCACTAACCACAAGGGCAGTCTTGGAAGTTATTCCACTCCTTAGAGGTTAAGGGAGGGGAGTGTTCTCACCCATGTCGTGCAAAGTTGGCCCAGTACTTCATCATCATCCTGCTCAGAAGCTCCTCCTCCTCAGTGAGGTCAACTGCAGAGAGGAGGAGATTAAGGGTTCAGACTCTGGCTTCTCATGCAGCCATTCACTCAAATTCTGCACTCACCATCCCAGCTGTAACCTACTCCTGGGTCTGGTCCCTTCCCTTCCCTTCCTGCCACCCACAATCCATTTCCTGCACCTGCACACTCTGTCTTACTCATCTCAGCCTCCAATTTCTACTCCCTCAGGCTCATCCTTGCCCCAGAGTATCTCCTTGCTTCTGATGAAAGGAAGTTGGGAATAACCATGCCTTTAGAATACCCTTCTCATGCTGCGAGTTGTAGTGCTTGTCTCTAATGTCAGCACTCAGAAAACTGAGACAGGAGAACTGCCATGAATTATGGGCTACACAGGGAGACCTTGCCTCAAAAAGTCAAAACAAACAAATGAACAAGTAGTATAAAACAACCCATTCTACCACTATGTCTGATTCCATGGCTCATGCAGGTAGGGACAGCTGGAGGAAACACAGGCAGGAGCGGGAAGGGGTTGGCTTTCTAACCTCATGCCAGCCTTTTGAGATACATCATGGTACATAAGCCATGCTGTCTTTACTCTGAACCTCAGTTTCCCCATCTGAATATGCCTGAAGGGCCTGCAGCCTAGGGAATAAAGATGACTCACCTTGAGTGCCTCCCCAAAATGATCGGAAGATAAAAAGAATCTCATCACCATGGTCGGCCTTCACATTGGGTGGCTTGGAGTCCTTGAAGAAGTTGGGTCGATGTTGGAACTCATAGAAGTAGACAGGGGCATGGGAACCTGGAGGCAAGGACAGGCTGAGAAAGTGCACTCTCGCCCAGGATGTCCTTCTTCAATTGTGATGACAAGATAGCTAGCTAGATCTGGGGTCAAAGCTGGATAGAGTTTAAATAGTGAAATGTGGAACCCCATGCTGGAGTAGGGGCTGAGGGAGGGACTTGGTTAAACCATTGTCTTGGAAATCTTTGCTATATAGACTTATGATATTGTTGTCACTTAGTTTCCTCATGAGTAAAATTTGGAAGATTCCTATGTCTTAAACAAGTCCCAAGAATCTACTTAGATGAGGGACATTAAGTACCTGCTAACAGAGGTCCAATATAGACATGGGTGGGGATCTGGACACCCCAGATTTCAACTGGGCACCACAGCTTTGAGCTGCCTCTAGGCATCAGGCCTCAGTTCCAGATGTACTCACGTTGAAAATGTGCCACTTGCAGTGCAGGGATCACAAAGGTGAAGTCTTCCATCATCTCCTTGAACTGCACTTGGAGAAGCTGCGGGTCCTCATTGTCCCCCATGTACTCCTCCATCAGCAGGTCACTAAATTCAGGAGGCCACATCTAGCCAGAGGGACCAGGGAGAGTCAGATTAGATAGACCCTGGGGCAGTGAGGCCACAGCCTCAGGATGAAGAGTAGGGCCCAGCATTGGACAAGTTAAATCACGAAAGGGCCAGGTTCTGGCGGCACTCAACCCACAAGTACTGTCATGGTTCAGCCTTTGTTCCTGCAGTTTGCTGCATGAGCAGGGTATGATGGAGATGCCCTCTCTCCAGTACTACAGAAGCCTCACCATCTGTGCTGCCCTTCTCTGCAGGAGAGCTTGCACGGTCGGTCTGTCCATTTCCTTCTGGGAGTCAGTGGTGCTTATGCTCTAAGTGATAAGAGGAGAGTCTGTGTTGTGGTCAAGGTCACATGGGGCTATAGGACAGGCTTCTTGGAGACCAAGGGCCTTGGACCTGGGCCTTACCGAAGGGATGATCCAGCCATACTCATCATTATTGACACCAATAATGCTGGGGACAGATTGGAAGTCAGTGGAAGCAAGCAGCTCCTTGGGATGCCTGGGCAGGAAGATACCATCTACTGTGCCAGGGATGATCTTGAAGGCCTGAAGGGACATTGGCTGTTAAGGAGGAAGGTCAGGTCCTTGACAATTCTGTATGTCAGGCTATAGTCTCCCACTCCTGTCTGTCTCATCCCAGGATTGTCACACCCAGTCTATGAGAACCTACAGCTGCTTTACCATATCCTGGTGTTGAGATCTCTTCCTGGGTGCTAGGTTATGAAGGATGGAATGAAGTCAGTGTCCAGGGGTTACCTAGGGCAGGCTACCTTATTCCCTGTTGCCCCTCCATCCTACCATTCACTCCAACCTTGTTAATAGCCATAATCTCCTCTTCACTCTTGTCTCGTAGACAGTTCACCAGGGCCTCTGAGTCCACCTGCTCACATCCTGACAGGTTGGCAACCATCTATAAAGGCATCAGGCAGGGGATGGCTCAGCCTTCCAGGCAGGGAAGGTTTTTTTTTTTTTTTACAGGGTCCCACTTGGGTTCAGGTGTTCCTCAAATCTCATAAGGTACATAGGTATGTAGACGACAGCGGCAGGTGTGAAACTGTTTCTGTTTTCCTGATGTTTAGAGGTGACAGCCAGAGGAGCTATCACACCTGATGACACGCTTTGCTTATAACACCACAAATCCCAAGCACAGCTTGATGGGATACAAGCCAGTGTGAGGCAGAGGGGAGTAGATTCTAACCTTTAGCTCTTCAGAGATTCCTGTACAGGAGGCAGCTGCCTGGTACCTCTGTGGTCCTTGTATACATTAGTCAGACAGAGAATCAGAGTTTCTGAGGGTGAAAGCTGAGGCAGGAGCTCAGGGATGGGGTGGTTGGGGGCACTCACTCTATAGACTATTTCAGAGGAGTTTGAGATGAGGCTTGACATCAGGGCTACCCCACTCTGCATGATGGCTCTGTGGAAGAGTCCTTTGGACATGGGGGACACAACATGTGAAGACACACTAGTGCCTCCTGCAGACTCGCCAAAAATAGTGACCCTGTCAGGGTTGCCTCCAAAGTAGGCGATATTCTGCTGGACCCAGCGTAGGGCGGCCACTTGGTCCAGGTAGCCCCAGTTGCCTCTGGCATGCTGATCTCCAGTGCTGTGAAGCGGCAAGGACAGGAATCACAGGGCTGTCCTTATTCTTTTTCAGCCCCATATCCCAGCCCAGCCCCAGACTCACCTGAAGAAGCCCAGGACACCCAGGCGGTACTGGATAGTGACTACCACCACATCCTCCATGGCTGCCAGCATGGATCCATCATACAAGGAAGCCATGCCTATAACCAGTGCGCCACCATGGATCCATACCATCACCTGAAGAAATCAAGATAGGTGCCATGTGTCTCCCATATAGCCCAGCTGGCTTCCCTTCAGAGTTAGTACAACTTCTTCTTTGAGCAGCTGCCCACATAGACAAATGCCCAGTTGGATATACTGGCATTTTTTGGGTGAGGGGTTCAAGCACAGTCATGGACACAGCCTTCCTCTCTGTTTGGAGTTCACCTCAGCATCAAAGTCTGACTGCACTATTCTCAGAAACTTTTGTGGGGGAATAACAGGGATATTTCCTTCATTATGTTCCATGAAAATTAGTCAAAAGTGTTCTTTTATAAAAAAAATTGTTTTTTATGTTTAATTGGTGTTTTGCCTGCATGTATGTCTGTGGGAGAAGCCCTAGAAGTGGAGTTACAGACAGGTGTGAGCTGCTATGTAGGTGCTGGGAATTGAACCTGGGTCATCTGGAAGAGCAGAGTGCTCCTAGCCACTGAGTCATCTCCCCAGCCCCCAAACGTGTTCTCAAGTCTTAGCAATTCAATAAAAATCAGTGGCTAGGTCTTTGGTGACTTCAAAGTGACACTGTTGTGTATTCAATAGATCTAGACACACGTTGGTAGTTGATTAGATTATAGGAAGAGATTTCTCATCAGGGTTCACTGCAGCATGGCCCAGGCTGATCTAATCTTTCTTTAGAAGAAATACCTTCTTACCCCAGAATGAATATGACTTGACACTCACAGGCAAGTTGGAACCCTCATGGGCATGAGCTGGTGTGTAGACGTTAAGGTACAGGCAGTCCTCAGACATGGGGATGGGAGGCAAGGTCAGCTTCAACAGCTTAAGAGTCTGCATACTCATTGCAGTGATGTCCTGCAGACATCTGGTGACCAACCATGGCAGAGAGTCAGCTCAGGGACATAGGGAGCCCAGAAACAGACCCTCTGGGAAATATGCTTCCAAATATCCCTATGCACTTCCTTCCTGATGTCTTTCTTCCACATGATCATTCTCTAAGTTCTTGTCTATCAAGGCCAGACTTTGGGCTTTGGAGAAGCTGAGATAAAGCCCAGACTTCCAGTAAGGTCTCAAGGTTGTTGAGGGGCTTGTATCCTACTTCTCCTGAGGGTGGGAAATCATGACCTTCAGGAATCCATCGGACAACCTTTGATTGAAGGTGTTGACATTCACCATTTCTCCCTCTAGCCAACCAGTTCTTGAACAGGGCAGCTGTGTCACCCTGGAGTTCATGAATGAGTGGAGGCTAGTTTCCCATAAGGTTGAGACCTCCCTCATTTCAAGTCCAGACTCTTGGGATCCTCATCTCTTCTTTAATCTCCACTTAGAAGCATACATCTTGAATATAAACTTAATGAGATTTAGAATTACTATGGAAACAAACCTCTAGGCTTGTTTGTGAGGGAGTTTCTAGATTAGGTTATTTGGGATAGGAAGACATGGCCTAGAAGTGGATAGTACTATTCTGTTGGCTGGTGCCTTGAACTGAATAGAAAAGAGATAGTAAGTTGATCATCAGCACCTCTCTCTCTCTCTCTCTCTCTCTCTCTCTCTCTCTCTCTCTCTCTCTCTCTCCTTCCTCACTATAGGTGTAATGTGACAAGTCACCCTACATTGCTGCTGCCGTGACTTTCCCACCAATTGGGCATTACCCTTAAATTATGTATCAAAATAAACTTCCTTGTTAAGTTGCTTTTGCCATGTATTTTGTCCCAGCAATAAGAAAAGCACCTAACATACATATATACTTATTTCTTGTCTAGTGACATCTATCCCTGTAGGGGCAGTGGGAGTGAAAGGTGGAATCTGCAAGGTCCTCTTCAAGGACCTAGTTTCTGATGTTGTTAGTTGGGGATCTTACAGGTTCTGGGAGTCAACCCCAACCTCTCCCAGAGACCTTTCCTTGGATATTGGAGAACACTAGAAATAGTCTGATCAATGCCATCCAGATGTCAAGCCTGAACTAAGGTTGGCAGAGTCATTTCACTCACTTAATATTAGCAAGTTCTGAAAATACTCTTGGGAATCCCCCTGCATAGTGGAAAAATGCTGTGAGGTTGAGATGAGGAACCACAGCTGTCTGGCCTGGAGTTCACAGTACTCATCGATCCCAGGGCCTCAGGAGAACTTACATGGCTGGATAGGAGGTCCCATTCCTCACACCACTCCACGGTTCAGGCGGCTCAGGGGGTACAAAGCGCAGTGGTCCTGTAGGTGGCTTGGCAAAGGGAATTCCCAGGAAAGTGTGGACACCCACATCAAGGTCCTTCATGTGGATGAGACTGCCTCGTATCTGGCCTGTGTGTGTAGTCCTGATGGGACTGGCTGAGTCCTGGCCTGGGGATGCAGAGGTGACATCAGGGTTGGGCCTACACAATCAGTGGCCACCATAGTAAGTTTTTTTTTCCACCCACTGCCTTGGCACCCTCAGCTCAGCCTTTTCCAAGGACCAAAGACAGCAAACATTATTTTCACACACTTCTTGTTTGTCACAGTGGCCTCATGTTACCACTGTTCATGACTCTGTTGATTTGAATTTGAAACACCGGAGGGGCTCTTGAGTATAGAATGCTAAGATTTGGAGATACACTGGGAGAACTCCAAATAATGAAAAACCACCGAAGTGAACCCTGAAATGGGTAGTTATGATATTTTAACTATATCTCAAAGGTTGTATTACAATGGTGACCTGCTTGCAAGTTACGCTGGTGCAATAGTAGTAGCACAGCAGTTGTGGGAGAAATCAGTCACTATCTTATCTGATTGGATTTAAGGCCCATTTCATGAGATGGAACCCATGCCAGAAACCGCTTGGGTGGCCTAGAACCTGAGATTAGATAGCCTAGGGACCTAGGGGAAAACAAAATTCTGTTCTTCAGGAATGTAGCAATAAAATGATTCCCAATGACATTCTACTGTACTCATAGATCTTGCTCAGTCATCATTAGAGAAGCTTCCTTCTGCTGTATGGGAACAAATAAAAGAGACCCACAGCTGTACAATGTGCAGAAGTGAGAGACCTTGGAGCACTCAGTCCTTAATGGCATGTCTCCATCAAATATGTCCCCTCAGGGCTCAGGAAACTGCAGGAGAGGAAGCAAAAAGATTGTAAGAGCCAGAGGAGATGAAAGACACCAAGGAAACAAGGCCTTTAGATACATAGGACTGACACACACATGAACTCATAGAGACTGTGGTAGCATGCACAGGGCCTTCACAGGTCTAAACCAGATGGGATCCCAGCACTGAGAGGGGAAGTGAACACAGCCCCCATCCCTAACCCAGAAACTATATCCAATTGATAATCACTCACAAAGGAAAAATAGTTTTCTCCAATGGAGTCTCACTGGGCATATAAACCACACTTAAGTTCAGGGCCCGTGCCCAGCAGGAGATGCCCAACACAAAATTAATGCAATGGTATTTTTGTAATAGTTTTTCCTCTTATAATTCTCTCTCTCTCTCTCTCTCTCTCTCTCTCTCTCTCTCTCTCTCTCTCTCTCTCTCTCTTCTCTCTCTCTTTCTCTGTGTGTTTCAACCTTACAATTCTTTTGCTTATGTATTATAGTTTCCAGTTTTGTGTTTTTATGAGATTTCAGTGTTTTTGAATATGTGTCTCTGTGTTGAGTGTTTTCTTTGGCTTTTATTTTTCCTGTTAGTTTGTTTTTTCCTACTCATGTTTGTTTTAATAATAATAATAATAACAATAAAATCATTGTTAGTATTAGATGCCTGTTTGTTTTCTAATGAGAGAAAGAGAAAGAGAGAGAACAAAAGAATGAATTGGGGGGGGGTAGCAAGGAGCTGGGAGGAGCTGGGAGGAGCTGGGGGAGGGGAAACAATCAGAATATATTGCATGAAAAAAATCTATTTTCAATAAAAAATTGAAAAGGGCCAATCAAAATTAAAAACCCCATAAACATACCAACTAATTTATTAAGTCTTGATCTTACTTAAACCTTAATTAAAACACTTTGTATTAATATCATTTGGAATAGATATGCTAACAGTAATTGACCAAGCTGAATATGAAGGCAGAGCCTGTAATCCCAGCAGCTCTCATGGGGCTGCCGGAGGATGATGAGAGTTTGAGGCTACCTGGGCTACATCCTGAGACTCAGCATCAATAATCTTGCCCAACCTTGAAGCCACACAAAGTTCTGGAAGTGTATCTTAGTGTTCTAGTGCTTGCCAGGAATACAAGAGGCCCTGGCTTTTTTTTTTAACCTCTTGGATCATGGAAAGAACAAACAAAATAAAACAAAGAAACCCAAACAGATATGTTTCAGCTGGGCAATATGGCACCTGCTTGTAATTTTATCACTCTGAGGGCTAAACCAGGATGATTCAAAAGTTTGAGGTCATACTTGACTATAGATGAGTTCAAGATTAACAGGGGTTACATAGACAGACTGTGTCTTAAAACATAAAACAAATCAACAACAATAACAAATCTAAAGAAATCACAAGCATATAGACAAGACAAAAAATTTGAAAAGAAAATTGATTATAGTGAGAATTAACTGTTGAAACATCTAACTCTCTCATTTATCTATCATCTATATATGTATGTGTGTATGCATGTGTTGCATGTGGGTGTGTATGTATGTATGTATGTATGTATCTATCTATCTATCTATCTATCTATCTACCTGTCAGTTTTTTCTTCTCCTTCCCTATCTTCACAGAGAATATTACCATATGTGATAACTGGGGTTTGCATCAAATAATGGCAGAAAAAGCAGGATGCAATCCAAATACTACTAGGTTGTGCCAGACCTAAAATTGCTGAAGGTGGATTTTGGGCACTATTGCCTCACTAATTATTTCTCCCAGCCCTAGAGCATCTTATTCCTCCATGCTGTGCAGGCCTCAGGCAACCCTGGCCCACTAGGTGCTTCAGGGAGGAAGGATGTATCCAGTCAGGGCCCCTTCCCTTGCTGTTGCTTTCTCCTAAACCACTCACTTCTCTTGTACCTTCTGTCTAGTTTCCTGTTTCACTTGTATAGGATTGGCTGATCTAAGCCAGGATTACTGGGGAAACAAAGAACACAGGGAGCTATTGCTACATCACTCACTGTAGTTTCACATGGGTCAACCAGTTTCAAGTCACCTGCTCAGGAAAGGCCAGAATTGGCAGTCACTCACAGGTATCAGAGAGGGCAAGTTCATACTATCTCTTCGCTGTGGTTTGGATATGGTTTGTTTGCTAAAATGGCAACACTGAGGTGGTAGGTCTGTAGAGAGGTAGGATAGTGGAGGGTGATTGGATCATGGCTGCCCTTGAAAAGGCTTTGTGCTAGTCTTTTGGAGTTAAATTAATCTCACAGGTGTGGACTACTTTTTTCTGAGATTGGCAGCAGGTTGTAATCACAGTCAGCTAGGCTCCTCTTCTCTCTATTGGTTGATCCTTGTTCATATTGTCCATCCATGGAATGTCATTGCTATGAGTTGTGAAAGAGCTCCAAGACCCTTTCCAGGGAGGGGATCACCAGAGAGCATCATTCATCATGGATTTTCTGCTTTCAATGCTATGAATTAAAGAAGCATTTTTTCTTTATACATTATCCAGTGTTGGTTATTTTGTCATAACAATACAAAACAAATATGAGGTTGCTTCATAATAATACCTGAAGATAAGGAAATGGGATCAGAACACAATAGTGGCCAAATATTGCAAGAGTTTGGAGGGACAATCTATAAGAGTCCTATTTTACAGTAAAGTGAACACCGTAAGTTGTTACGGTGAGGGCTCTGATGACAAAAGACTAGGAAGGAGCTTGCACTTCATAGATGGTTTATGTGATCGTGTCCAGAATGCCAATAGCAACGCTGACAGTAAAGACACACTAAGGAAGTGAGAACCATCCCATTGTAAACTAGAGTGAAGGCCACCTGTGTTACAGTATTACGAAGAAGTTGGCTGTACTGCATCCGTACTCTAATGCTCATAGAAAGCCAACTTTAAGAGTGATACCCAAAAGTGTTTGGAGAAATACATTTCTAAGTAAACCATCGAGGGAACTGTTTGAGTCTTCTGGGCCATATCCAGTGAAATTCACAATAATCCCTGGCGAGGGAGGCAGAGTTTAGAAATCTGAAAATTCACATCATGTCCATGTAAAGAGCAGATAGGTCTTTGGTGAGAATGTGAAGGCACAAAAGAAAATACTATGGGTAGAAGAAGCCAGGCTCAGAGGAATGTCCCAGAACAATGGGAAAGGCACTCTGGAAACAAAATAGAAACTTTCCATTTTGCCAACATCTTCCTCCTCTAACCTCCTATCACAAGCAGAGAGGCTTGGAGGGTTCAGGGAACGGGCGCTCTCCACATGCTCGTTATTCAGGCTAGCTTTAGGATTCTGCTTCTCACATTCTGGTATAACGATGTACATCTGCTCTAGCCATGGTTGAATCAGTCTAGGGATGGCTCTTGACATTGATCCAAAGGGGTCAAGTATCATATCTTGGGGGTATTTATCTGGTACTAATTTGTCGGACACAGAATCCAAGGACTATTAGGTCATAGCAGGTTCCACTGAGATTTCTAAGAAAAAATCTGGGAGGATCCATCCCACCAACACTGCCAAGATTTCTCACTAGAATGCCCTGCGAAAGCTGTAAGAGTGGGAGCATGGATCTTGAGATTCCAGAACTGTAACAATACAGGCAATTGCCGGGCGGTGGTGGCGCACGCCTTTAATCCCAGCACTCGGGAGGCAGAGCCAGGTGGATCTCTGTGAGTTCGAGGCCAGCCTGGGCTACAGAGTGAGTTCCAGGAAAGGCGCAAAGCTACACAGAGAAACCCTGTCTCGAAAAACCAAAAAAAAAAAAAAAAAAAAAAAAAAAAACAATACAGGCAATTGTCAGCAGCAGCCTATGAAAGCCAAGAGGCAACAGTATACACCATGAGAGAGCTATCAGGTAGGCTGCAGCCAAAGTGCTGGTTTGAATGAGAATAGTCTCCATAGGCTCAGATATTTGAATATTTGGTCCCCAGTCGGTGGCTCTGTTTGGATACTTTTGGAAGGTGTGGCCTTGTTGGAGGAAGTCACTGGGGACAGGGCTTTGAGGCTTCAAAAACTATGCATCATTCCCAGTTTCATTCTCTTGCAGTTTGAGATGTGAGCTCTCAACTGTATCTCTCGCCATATCTGATGTTGACTACCATGCTATCCTTGCCATTCTGGACTCATATCCTCCTGGAACCATAAGCCCAAATAAATCCTTTCTTCTATAAGTTGCCTTAGTCAAGGTGTTTCACCACAGAAATAAAAAAGTAACTAATACAGCAAGCAGTATCCCATGACAGAGGTGGGGATACCTGAGTCCCCGGGGTCCACTGCCTGCTCTCATTGGCACAGTATTCTGGGCTTACAGTTTTGAGAAGCTATCTCTCTTGCTTGGTTTTGAATTTGCTTGGGCCCTTTTCTATTTGCCTGTTCATCCGTTTTGCAATGGGAATGTCCTAGTCGGGTTTCTATTGCTGTGAAAACACTATGACTGAAGGGAACTTAGAGGAGGAAAGGGTTTATCTCATCTTACAGACTACAGTCCTGAAGGGAAGGCAAGGCAGGAACTCAAGGCAGAAACTGAAGCAGAGGCTGTGGAAAAATGTCGTTTACTGATTTTGTTCTCCATGGCTTGCTTAGTCTGCTTTCTTTCATATAAAGAAGGACCACCTGCCCAGGAGAGGTGTTACTCACAATGGGCTGGGCCCTCCCACACTAATAATTAATCAAGAAAATGCTCCCACAGACTTGCCTACAGGCCAGTCTCCTGGAATTGATTTCTCAGTTGAGATTCTTTCTTCTCAGATTTGTCTAGGAATGTGTTAGGTTGACAAATATCAACCAGTACAAGGATTACTCTGTGCCTGTTTCAACATTAATTATTAAAATCATCAGACTTGTTTTTTACTTTAAAGGCTCCCAGCTAGAAGGAATTTTCCTTGAATTTCAGATGGGATTTGGGACTTTGGAATCATGCCCAAAGGAGTTAAGTCTTTGGGACTGAAAGCATGACATGATCATACTTTGCACTGTGAGAAGGACATGAACCTTGGGGCTGGGACAGAATGCACTGATTTGTATATTTTTTGTACCCCCAAAGATTTATATACTGGATGCTTACTAGAGGGTGCTGCTGTTGAAATAGTGAGACCTTTAAGAAGTAGGGTGTAGTGGGAGGTGACTGAGTCATGGGAGCCCTCCTACAGGGATTCCTGCTGGATTTTGAAACAGGTTAGGTCTTGCAGTGAGACTGAGCTGTCAGACAAGAGTGACTATGGCCATCCCCAGGGCATATTGCTTCTTCTTTTACCGTGTGAGCTCTCGCCCATGTCTATCTACTGTGAAATGTCATTGGCATGTTGTAACATAGCTAGAAGGCTCTGAACAGAGCCTCGCTAGAGTGAGCAACCTGATGGTTAATTTTCAAATTCTAAATTTTGAGCTGAACAAAACCACTTCCTTTGACCATTATATGGCTTCAGGTATTTTGGCACAACTATCCAATCTACTAAGATGTTCAAGTCAGAAGGCACACTCCCGTTTTCTGTCACATGCTGCTCACGCAGGGTTTCATGTGGAACGAGATCTCTGTCCATGTGATTTCACTTCAGTTACCAGCTACTGAGGCCTCATGTTGTGTTGTTATAGCAATGGACAAGAATATGCTAGAATATCCATGATTTTAGATTCGTTACATTAACTGATTACTTTTGAAGTGAAGCCTTCCATTAGGTGGTATTACGGAGCTCTAACATGTAGTAGTGTGAAGTGATCTCCTTGCTAGGAAGAGTTAAATCGTGGTGCCAGAAATGGAGTGAATTTGTAATTATTTTGGTTGAAATCAAGGGCCAAAGACTTCATCTATTCTAAGACAAACTCCTGAGCCCTGTGTATAAGACCCAGGGACCTTGATGTTTCCTGTAGAAGAACCAGGAGTGGATGAGACAGAAGAGGGTGGGATCTACATTTGTGCTCTCCTATGACTTGTTAATGATGTTTCCTGATATGGGTTAAATAGCCAAGTACTATTAAAAATGGGAGCCATTAAAGAGGGTAGGCAGATCTCTTGCCTGGAAGGTCCTGGTGACTTTTGAGAGCAATTACAAATCAACTGAGGGAGAAAGGCCACTGAGGTAAGGCACGAAGAATAGGTGTGAGGAAATTGGAAAACAGGAAAAGAGTGGTATGAATTAGGGCCTCCAGGAGGGGCCCTTGAGGGGAGAGGATGAAGACTGAGGGACATGTTCAGAAATTCTGCCCATTTGACTCCAAATAAGGTGGAAAATACTTGGCAGGCCCAGAGTGCTATCACCTTTCCCTTGGAAGCCAAGTCTCACTGCTGCCTCAGGCTAGGCCAGACATATGATGTAAAAAGCACCCTGGGTCCTTTCAGAGCCAATTTTAGGTACAGGATTGAGCTCCTGTATCCTCAAGAGTAAGAAGTTTCACTTGAATATCTCTGAGAAAGCCATGCTACCCCTCTGGCCAGGGAAATGATACACCAGAGTCTAATGGCCGTGGAGGGTATCGTCATGTTGTTTAGTATATGTGCATAGCTCGAGCTCCAGTCCCAAACCCAGGAGGCAATGTCATGACTTCCCATCTAGAGGCTGCTTGCTGTCTGGCCCTGTCCATTTGCCATTCCTCAAACCCCCCTCATTCTCAGCTCTTTCCTTGAAGTTGGGCATCCTTAGGCATCCTCTCTGCTCTATGGCCTAGGGGGCCCACTCTGACTCTTGGGGGAGCATCATACAAGTGCAGGGTTCCTGAGCAATGAACTCCACCATTTCAGCCACTCCTTGCCCATTTCCTCCCTTAGTCTCCACTCTGCCTCTGCACAATTTGGCAGCTCTGACATGGTTCCCTGTCACTCCCGTGAGAGCCTCACCCTGAACCTGGAGAAGAAGCAGGAGCCCATAGGCCATGGTGGTCAGCCGATCGGGAATTCGTTCCAGTTCCATGGTTGGTGCACAGGAGTGTGTCTGAATCCTGTAGGGCAGGTCAATCTTTACCAGAAGGCATCTGAGGACCAGAGCTGGAGTTTGGACCCAGCAGAGTGTGGGCAGGGCTCTGGGTGGGGCCTGGGAGGTGGGTGTTTCAGGAGAGCAACACTGAGTAGGCTGGGCTTGTGAAAGCCCTAATCAGCAGACAGGGACTGTGATTCCCTCCACACTTTCTGTGTTTCTTTTGGCCTCCTCTGAAGGTGCTATGTGTATCAGTAGCCCCTTAAACACAGTGACCTGCACCTGAAACCTGCAGTCACTAAGTCTACTGACATGACAGTCACAGGTCCAAACACGACATTGGGGATGAAAGGCCAGAGCTGAAAGTTGTAACTGGAGATGACAGAAGGGCTTCTCTAAAGTGACACACCTTCAGTGACCCACATTAGAGAATGAACACACTTATTATGGGATGAAGGAAACTTGGAGAGCAAATACATGAAGTTACAACATGAATTTCCCTTAATTCTGAAAACTCCTCCTTAGTTTCTGGACTCATGATTTACTTTATTCCCTGCCCAGGTCTCTTAATCCTCATAGTCATGGTCTGAAAATCTATATGGATTCTTCCTTGGTCTCATGGACATTTCTGTATGTGTGTCTACACACACACACACACACACACACACACACACACACACACACACACACAAATATATTATTGAATGAAGAAGAAACTCAAGAGCATTTCTGTGTATATTGGGAGGGTGATGGAAAACTTACAGCCACAGAAACCTGGAGGAATAGAGAGAGAAACAGAAACACACACACACAGAGTCAGAGTATAGAAAGACTGAGATGGAAATGGGAAAGAAGATGGAAGCCGAAGTTCAGAGTCTAAGGAGGGCAGCGGTGGCACACTCCTTTAATTCCATCACTTGGAAGGCAGAGACAGGCAGATCTCTGTGAGTTCCAGGCCAGCCTGTCTACAGAGTGAGTTCCAGGACAGGCTCCAATGAAATCCTGTCTCGGGAAAAAAAAAAGAAAAAAAAGAAAAGAAAAAGAAGAGTCTAAGGAGAGGGCTAGTGAGATGGCTCAGTGGGTGAGGACGCCTGCCACCGAGATTGATGAGCTGAGTTTGATCCCTGGAATACACATGGTCAGAGGGGAGAACTGGCTTTCAAAAGTTTTCTTCTGCCTTCCACCTGTATAACATGGCATGTGTGCACAATGTGCATGTGTGTATGTGCCCCCCCCAGACACACAGGCACACACACACACACACACACACACACACACACACACACACACACACACACACACACACACACACACACACACACACACACACACACACACACACACACACAGAGAGAGAGAGAGAGAGAGAGAGAGAGAGAGAGAGAGAGAGAGAGAGAGAGAATAAAATGAAAAAAAAAAGATGTTTAGAGAGAGCAGGTATGTTGATTAACATAAGTAGTTCCAGAACTTGGGAGGTTGAGGCAGGTGGATCCTGAGTTTGATTACAGCATGGGTTATACAGGAACATTGTGTATCAACCAACAAAATCCAAATGAGCAAATAATAGCAGTAATAATAATAATAATAACAGCAATAATAACACAAATAAAATAAAAGTCCAGGCAAATATCTGCAATACAATATAGGTACACACCTGCCCCTAGTAATTCTTCCAGTTAGGCCCTACCTCCTAAAGGATCCACAGCCTTCAATATAGTGGTTCTCTAGCTATGGGCCAGGCACTCAAAACATGAGTGGGTCACATTTTAATTCAAACCATAGTAACTACTAAAAGTCTAAAAAGTACCCTGAGATTGCTGTTGGTAAAATATCCTGTGTATTCAGAGAAATGAAAGCCACATGGTAGTGGGTTTACAGTAGTGAGACTCAGTCTTCCCTTCACTGCAGCAGTCTCATCAAAACACTTTGAAGGCTTGCTGTTGGGGCAAAGGTGCTGGACAATCACTCCTGACACCAGAGGTCAATGCTGGTTCATGTCTCACAAATGTGACAAAATGAAACCCCACAGACACTGAGTGAGGGTGAAAGTTACAGTTTATCACCAGGGAAAGGAGAGTGCCTGAGAGTGTAAGTGGTGCAAAGGTCCCATGACTGCGGACAAGATCAGCGGTCACCAGGGCTCCCACCCGACAGGAAGGGCCCAAAGATTGGTTTACACTGTCCTGTTTTCGCTTACGGTATAAAAGGACTTTGAAAAGAGGAGGGGGATGCAGGGGAAGCAGCAAGAGCTGCCAGTCAGCACACTGTTGGCTGCCTGCCTCTGATTTTTTTTTCTAGGAACCAGGAAAGTCTTCAGCTGCATTGGGCAAGTGGTTGTCAGCAGACACCAATCTTTCAGCGATGAAAGCCTTCAGGGTTGAAGCCCCAACCTGAGTGCCTGGCGGGTGCAGCCAACTGCTGGTCTCACCAGGGGCTCAACAATGCAGTAAGACCCCAGTGAGAGTATCCTCCTGCTCAGCTTCTAAACTAAGGCTCAACATTAACCTCATCTATTCCCCGGTGTTCTGGGTAGGCAACACAGAAATCTTCATTTTCAACCCAAAGGTCATAGTGCATTAGGATTTATATTCAGTGCAGTGATTGGGAAAGGGGAACTTTGCTCTGAGAAAACTGGCCCAAGTAGAGCAAGATGGTGAGAGGTAGAGGGATGGGGGAGGTCCTGGAGCCTACAGGACACAAGACACCACCCCTTAATGACAGAGAAAGTGCTTTAGAGGAGCAAAAGTACAGACAGAGTAGAATTTGGCACCTTTGTTAATGGCAAAGTGCAAGAGACTTTGTACTGCTGGAGTTGAAACATTTAAGGAAATCAATCATGTGGATTATCAAGAATATTATGGGATGACCAAGGAGTCAAGAGGCTTCAGGGAGGATTCATGAAGGGCAGGAAGATACTTCCATAAAAGGAGAAGCTTGCTCAGGGTGCCAGGGACAGGAATCTCTTCTGACATCATCCCATTTCCAGAACACACCCCCTAGACAAACATTTTCACAGAGGCGGTAGACTCAAGCAAGCATGGGCTGCATACTGTCTGTAGAACTCCTGATCTGAAGAGTAAACTTCAGAAAATGGGGCACTGAGAAACCCACGTAGTTCTGGCCAACTCCCTAACTCCTGACCCAGATTGAAAGTCTCATAAACATGCCTAGTTCTGCTTCTGCAGGTATTTGTAAAATTTCATATACAGGGACAATATGTAGGGATTTTGTTCATCACTTGGCATCCTTTGTGGCTGATGTCAGACACCTCTATGAGCTGCGGTCTGAAAGCCATGGGATCAAATTTATTTGCTGGAATCTAATATCTAATCCAATGCTATTAAGAGTTGTGACTCTGGGAAGATCCAAGAGTGTCAATGTTCGCTCATTCTATTCAGTGAGGGTGCAATGTGAAATCTTTTGAGCCAGAGACATAACTCTCACCACACGGCAAATCTGATGGCATTTGACCTTGGATTTCTTGCTTTATAAACATGTATACAAACTTTTGCTATTTGTATGTTATCCAGATCATAATTTGTTTAGAGATGTTGGTCTTACTGTGTTGCTGAGGACTTGAAACTGCTGGAATCATGTAACCTTTCTGTCTAGGTCTCTGAATAGCAGGGGCCACAGATACCTACTACAGAGCTCAGCTTGCAATCTGTGAACTTTTGGAACCACAGCCTGACTGAACACATGAAAACAATAGGACTTCCAGTTATTAGGTTTCTTTATTAGCTACTTACAAATAAGAAAGCCATGAGACTTGCTGAGAGAAGGTAGGATTTTGACATAGCCCACTTCCATAGAGTCACTATTTCCAAAGCATCTGTTCCATTTGAAGAAAGTCTGGGGCTTGGAGAAGAGGAGAGCGTGAGAGCAGATGAAGAAAGGAAGGAAGGAGCCTGGTCCCAGTAGACTGTGAAAGAAGATTGGGACACTTAGGGGATCACACATCTACATAGTCATGGGAGCATTTACTGAGTGGGTCTCATAAAAGGTGTCCCAGCATGTTGAGTAGTAAGTGGTACACTAAGGGTTTGTCATACATGTTGGCCAAATGGATGACTGTAGAGATAAGGGATGGTTACAAGACTGTTAGATTCTAACCAGGATTTCTAAGAATTCTAACATTTCTAAGAATGTTAGGCTGACTCCATGTATACTCAACCCTCTACACCATTTCTCTCACAGGGTACTACAACTCTTTGTGATTCTCCTGAGACCTCTTTAGCTCCTGGATCTTCTTGGGCAGAGTCTTGGTCCAGAACTGTAGCCTTCTGGCCTTCAGGGCTTGTCCCACAGTAGGCTGAATGTCCAGCTGCAGGTACTGCTCATCATGGTCAAACACAGGCCAGTAGGGTAGATCCTTGCTGTTGGGGTTCCTGTAAATATATCACCCAGCAGGTAAGGGTGTAGGTTACTCTCATCATACCCAAATTTGTGTCAGGGCAGTGGACCAATTGGGCCAATGGTTGAGGAAGCTGATGGGGCACATGTTCTGGTATAGGGATACAAGTGTCACCTACTAGTGTCTGCTTCATGTGGGGCAAGATTATATGGCCAATTTCATGTCTCCCTCTCAGAGACAAAATCTAAAGAACAATACCATAGCACCTGCCAGGTCACTGCAGTATGACCAGTAACCAGTATGTACAATGTATCTAAGTGTGCCCTGGGGTGAGGAGAACTCTATTATGTGATTGTTATCCATGCATACTAATGAAGTCATCAACCACAATTTGGAGTCCTAGATAGGGACCCACCACTGAGGAGGTTGAGGGAGGGGCGTAGATAGGGACCCACCACTGAGGAGTTTGAGGGAGGGGCATACTCTCACCCATGTCGTGCAAAGTTGGCCCAGTACTTCATCATCCTCCTGCTCAGCAGCTCCTCCTTCTCAGTAAGGTCAACTGTAGCCATGAGGAAGACAGAGGTCCAGGTCCCAATCACCTGATGCAACTGCCTACTTATGCTCTACAATCACCATCCTT